ATCCTACCATAACTATGAAGCGTTCCTAAGTAGCACTTGTAACAGTTGGAATTTTTACATTTATTTGTGTATTGATCTCCATTATGTCAAGAACCCTGATTTTGCTAATTGTTATACTTTCTGTCCCCCACCATGAGCTACCACTGTGACTGGCACACAAACTGTGCTCATCAAATTTATGAAGGAGGGAGGAAGGGAGGCACCTGGCTGACATTTACTAGTTGGCAAAGTTACTTGCTCACGCACCTGTAAAATAGAGAGGATATTGCCCATTTCCCAGGGTTATTATGAGAATTAAATAATGAGATGCTATTTTATAAGGTGTAAAGTGAATATTCCATTTTAATACAAGGTAGACTGCTCAAAGCATTCTAGCAGTCAGAGATGAAAATACACAGCTGAAAGAGAAATGAAGGAAAGGTCATTAATTCCCTTCAGACTGGATCAGCAGAACTTGATAGAGAAGGTAATATATGGCAGGGGCATGAGTAGGGTTGAATCCGTAGATGTTTACTCTTTAGAGAATGTGTGTGTGTGAGCGTGTGCATGTAGATGCAGATGTGTGTGTGTGTGTTTGAGTTGACTGCTCACCAGAATCCCACTCTGTAAGGACAGGGATTTCTGTCTGTTTTGTTCATAGCTGTATTCTCAACGCCTGCAACAATGTCTGGAACATGACTGTAGCTCAGTAAATATTTATTGAATGAATAAATAATAATGAACCAATAGTAATGGATGAATGAATAGAGGAGATACGGAATATCTGGTGAAATTTTATGAGTGAAAGCATAGACAAAACATCAAAAATGGTGTTGATGTGGGAAACCTGGGCGTGGAGAGACCAGGTTGCAGAGGAGGTGGGAGGAGAAGAGGTAAGGGATCCAGGAAACATGCTTATGGCTGGTGAATACCCTGGAGGGCTCGTGGGCCAATTTGCAGAACTTCTGACTTTGCAAACAAAAGCCCCCTAGCACTGACATCTTTAGGTGAAACAGGAGGGAAAATGCTCCTGTTATTGAAATGTTGAAGTGAAATTCCCTTGGTCCGCCTGATAACCAGTCATTGCTAAGTCCTCTGCACAACATGGGCCTTTGACAGCATGTGCCATACAATGGCAGTGAAGGAAAAAATGTGCCTGTAATTATAACAAAGATGAAAACTATGGAAATCATCAGGAGCATCTGAATTTAAAATGCCAGTGAATATAAATCATAGTATTTGCATAGAAATGTGGCATCACTACAGACATTGGTTAAAATTCAAAAGTAGGTGAATAATGAATAAAATGCCACTTTCAAAATTATAAAATAAAAGTGTTATTGCTCTTATCTTTTAGAAAAATCTTGCTTGTAAAGGCATTTAATATGAGAAGGGGAATTGAAAATAAACTGGGTGCTAAAGACTTGCAGTCAGTGCATCATGGCCTTTTTAAAAAAAATGTTAAGAAATCACTTCCTAATCAGCATCTGTGATAATGAGCTGTAATCTTACCAGTGTGAGACTGATGATAAATACCGAGTACTGATTTTTTAATAACATAAAAAAACAGATATACAACATATTTTCAAGTCATGTAGTCCTTAATGGAAAGTCTTTACAGTCCAGCCGCTGTGATATAATTCAAATAAAATCTTTTTTAAGGTATCATTTTAACACAAATAACTAGCAGCAAGCAGACTTTTAAACTATTGGTGCCCAAAGCTTATTTTTATCTAAGGCTCAGAAATAATTAAATTCTTGTCTAATTACATAACGTCTAATTTAGAACCTCATTTATTTAGTCTCAAATCCATTTAAAATGACACCCCAAAGCAGGTAATTAAAAATTAAAGTAGAAATCAAGATGAAAAAGGCAAGATTAAAGCTGGTTTTGACTGTTCTGATTAGTGGAGAAGGGCGGTGAGATGGTGAAGGGCCTTGGTAGACTTCTTTTTCAGAGGCAAAGAAAGAGGTGGGGTTATGGAACGCAGCTCCCTGAGGCACCAGTGACTTTTTGAATCTGTGTGGTATATGTCCAGGTGCAAAGCTGACACCATGCAACTAGGACAAGTGACTTGATTGGGCTTCAATGTGTGTTGGGGATCCCCAGCCAGAGGAAACCTCCTCCGTGTCTCCTGTCCTAGAAGAGATCCCAGTCCTCCTGGCTACACCGAGGAGAATGCAGCACCCAACAGGCAGGGCCCTTGCATGTGGGTGCGCCTAGTCTACAGCAAGCTCTTTGGTAGCAAGCCCATGGAGTTGCTTCAGCAAAATACACACACACACACACACACACACACACGCACACGCACAATCGAAATGGTCATTGGTAATGAATTTTATAGTTTGCGAATGTCTTTGCATGCATAATGTCACTTCATCCTCACATCAGCCCAAAAAAGAACAGGTGCTTTCACTAGTCTCGTTTTACAGGTGGAGAAACTGAGGCCCTGAAGGGTTAGGTAACAAATTGAAGGTGTGACACACCTAAGGTGCTAGGGCTAGACTTCAAAACTCCTGAATCCAGGCCTGGCCAGGCGTGGCTCAGTGGTTGAGCGTCGACCTAGGATCCAGGCGATCGGGGTTCGATTCCCGGTCAGGGTACATGCCCGGGTTGTGGGTTCGATCAATGACTCTCTCATCACTGATGTTTCTATCTCTCTCTCTCCCTCTCCTCTCCTCTCTCTGAAATCAATAAAGATATATTTTTTAAAAAACAACAACAAAAAACTTCTGAATCCAAATTCCAAAACACACTAGCTTCCTGTTGGCTGACACATTTTGATTTCTCTCGCTCTTATGGGACCTTTCTCTCTCTTGAAGGGTCTGAGCGGCAGTAAGCACTTCTGTTTCTGAGGTTGTTTCTGCCACAGCAAAAGCATCGCCCACTGAGAACTAATTTGGGGAAGAGGAAGTACCCAAGGGGTAGGTGTAAGTACTTTGCCAATCCTCCTTTTATGCCGGAAAATAAGGATCTCACAGGTCCTTAAGTTCACATGGAGGGGTTTGATCTATGAAAGGATCCCAAATATGTGGTCTTCCATATGTTCTTGTCTTAACTCGGAGCTACAGAAAGCAAGCCTCTCTACCCTTGCTCCAGGAAAACACCTAGGCTATGTACAGAAAGACCACTTCTAACACTTTGCTAAATCTGGATCATTCCCCTTGAGACTATGTAAATATATATTGGCTGAACCATAAAGCAAATGTCCAGGCTTCTATTCTTCTCCCAAGAATCAAGTGAGCTCATAAGTGGGAGTGATACTATCTCCAGCAGTGTTTCTCAAAGTATGGTCTTACTTTGAGACCAAGCATTAGCATCAACTGAGAATGTGTTAAAATGCAAATCTAATGAATTAGGAACTCCAGGGGAGAGAGCAGTTAATAAGTCCTCCAGATGATTCTGATGTTACTGAAGTTTGGAAACCACTGGTCTAAGTACAGTTGCATGGGAACAGCCCTGCGCTAGGAGCCAGGATACATGGGACTTGGTCCTAGTTAGGCCTCTCACTCACCTAGGAATGCAATAAATCGTATCCCCTCTACAGGCCTCATTTCCTCACTAGTCAAATGATGAAGTCTTCCTTGGTAAGGGCCAGACATACTTCTCTAATGCATATTCTGTGATCCTTCATGAAAATTATGGTTTGAGCCAGCATTGGAGTAAGGCTCCCAGCCCAACATCATCAATATGGCTTGCTCTTACTCCACAATAATCTTTCCTTCTTAAAGTCTTGAAGTTTATTTTCCAAAAATCTTTAGTTGAAATACAGTTGAACTTGGGAGGAGGTTGCCTCAGTTCTCACATTTATTTTCCAAAAATCTTTATTTGAAATACAGTTGAACTTGGGAGGAGGTTGCCTCAGTTCTCAGTTCACAAGTCACCTAAGCTGGGACAAAGAAAAGGTGGTTTTTGAAGCAACCAGGATCCAGGAAGAAGGGTCTGGGCTAATGCCAGTGGAGTAAGTCAACAAAGACAAACTTCATCCAATTGCCAGTTTCACTGAGGTCTAGCCCCAACTCTGTTAGACGAAAATGTGGAATTTTTTGGCCAGTTAAAAGACATTGCTATCTTCCTCTCTTTCTGCATTAAATAGAATGTTTACTAGAGAGATTGCTCTATACAAAAAGAAGCTAACAGCTCAGCAGAGGTTGATTTATCAAGAATCTGGTTGTCATTCTAGGTCATTTGGGCTGATGCATTATTAGAGACACTCAAGCAGAAAAGCATCCTCCCTGGGACTGTCCTTTGATGCCCAACAATAGGAATGTTCACTTCAGCCTTCAGCCACCACTCGTTTATGGAATCCCTACCATATGCAGGAAATAGGGACATAGCAATTGAGATAGAAATTATCCCTTTCTTTAAGGAGCTGACAATCTGGCAGAAATTATGCACGTTCCCTAAGTGTAATGAATGCTAGGAAGAGGTATTATGGGAGCAAATTCAGGGAAATTCACCTAATGTCAGGGCCTTGGGTTGGAAGAGAAAGACAATGACCTTAGGGACAAGATGGTTGCATTTCTTACCCTAGCATATCTGCAGGATGCAACACACTCCCATCAATAACTGTGGCTCTCTCAAATGAGCAGGGGAAAGCAGCATCCTCCAAGGAGTGCTCCTCCTCACCTCCCTGCCTCTCCCCTCCCTTCCTCAGTTTCCCGATGGAGGGGGGCTGGGATAGGCACGAACATGTCAGCACGCAGGAAGAAAGCTTAGTGTGCATTTTGTAGCCCGTAACCTGACTTAATTACTTCCCGGTACCTATTATTTTTGGCTATTAACATGGTTATTCTCTGCTGTAATATTCATACAACTCACAATTTTAAAAGGAATATCCTGTGAAAGCCCATAATACACAAATGATTAAATCCTTGGTACACATGTAAAGGCAGGGCTGTGATGGAATCTGAGGTTCAAGCTCCCTGCCACCTGCTTTGTGCTCCTCTCTCCACAGTCGTCCCATAACAAGGTGGCCAAGAGAAAGGGCCACCAGGAACAAAACCACACCCACACTTACTGTTGTCCTCAGCAATACGATGTCTGCTTCTTGCAAGGAACATGGGACGCAATTTGCCCACACATGCCAAGCGGGTCTCCAGTAAAACACCAAGGGGAGGATCCCAAATGAGAAGATGGATCCAGCAAGGCAGAGGGTTTTCCGGCAGCTGTGAGTCTGGTAGCCAAATATCTCCTGGGGCAGAATGAAAGGGACCCCAAATATTGGTTAAACACAATAAGCAACAAATAAGTAAATTGGGTTTTGGTGATGAAACTGAGAGCAAAGAGTAAAGAAGTTGAGCAGGTTGAGGTGAGGACAGGCTGGGGGGTTGAGAGAGTGGGGAAGAATCCCTGACAACAGGGGTTGAGAGAGTGGGGGAGAATCCCTGACAACAGGGGTTGAGAGAGTGGGGGAGAATCCCTGACAACGTGTAAGACCTGATCCTAGGCCTCCAAGAAGTTGCAGTCTAACTGGGAAATTCAGTTTGTGCAGTATGAGCACCCAGCTACCCTGTGAAAAGCACTATGCTAGGTGCTATGTTGTCTTGTTTAAGCCTCACAATCATCCCCTGAGTAGGATATCACCCTCAGTTCACAAATGATGACCCTGAGCTCAGAAAGGCTGAATGGGATGACTTGTCCAAGGCCACAGAGCTAAGAAGTTTGGCTGCATTATTCAAACTCAGGTCTGTCAGCTCCTAGTCTTGAGCATGATCCACAGCCTAGATATGACTACGAGACAGGTGACAGGAGCACAGGTGACCCCAGCATCCACTGACTCCCTTGGCTAGGACTGACAGCCTGGTAGTTAAGAAGGACTAGAGGCAGGCCTTGAGTTTGGAGTCAGGGTTTGGTCAAAGTGTTTGACCACAAGAGGATGAACCACTAAATGCCACCCTGCCTTTGGGAGTTTGGGGCAGAGCTGTGCATTCACACCCTCCTGTCTTGTTCAACAGCAGAAAGAAGAGACTATTTGGATTGTTTCGACTGATGCCTATTGAGCACCGGCTATGTGCCATGAGGTGATATGAGGCCCAGGAAGATACTAATGTGAAAGGGACAAGAGTCTTACCTCTCACAGACTTATAATTTGGACAAACTTCTTTCCAAGTAAGGCCTTGGACAGAATAGAAAACTACCCCTGAAGTGTATGGCCTCAGTTTCACAACTATATCCCATGAAGCCATAGGTACATTTTATACTGGTTAGAAAGGCTCAGTTGAGAAGTAGAGACTCCTGGTTAAAAGCACATTCTCTGGACCAAGACACTCTGGGTTCAAAGCCTAGCTCTACCGCTCACTGGGTGGGACCTGGAGGAAATTATTTAACCCTTTATTCCTCAGTTTGTCACCCATAAAATAGGAGTGGTGATAGTACCTCACGGGATTGCTATAAAGCTTAAATTAGTTAATATGTGTAAACTCTGTGTAAGCATTTACTGCTACTGCTGTTGCTACTACTACTATTCGTTTACCATTTCCTGAAACTGACCTGAAACTCATCTGAAATGATACTCCTTTGTTTATTGGCATTTAGATCTAAAAATCCCTAGTGTGAACAGTTCTGGTCTTGTTAGAGTTACCTGTTAGGATAACAGGAGCTGGAACTTGCAACTTGGAATCCACCAGCTTCTCTACCTCCCTTGATCAAGATTACATTATCAGAAAAGGTTCTGTGATCTTTGGCTGAGAGTTGCTTTCACCTGTAATTATTAGGCTCCTTCCTCTCACTAGCAACACATGCAGGTGGTGAATGGCTTTGTGGGTATAGCCCATATTTGGTATGCCTTTAATAAATGTTCACATTGATTCAGAAAGACAAGCTCTTAACTGAGCTTGCAAAACAAGAAGTCTATCCTGACATTAGGGCCCTTCTGTCCCAAGCTCAAGTGCTGCTCTCCAGATGTTAACCCTGGATCTGCTCCATTCCCCCATCACACCTGTGGAGGAGTCCCGATCCTAAATTCCACACCTGCCCTGAGTTCATCCTACCATCTTCTCCCATGCGCTTTTTTATGTTCTATTTATTTACTTATTTATTTTAATATATCTTTATTGATTTCAGAGAGAGGAAGGGAGAGGGGGAGAGGGAGATAGAAACATCAGTGATGAGAGAGTCATTGATCGAGCCCGCAACCCGAGCCTGTGCCCTGACCGGGAATAGAACTGCGATCGCCTGGATCCTAGGCCGACGCTCAACCGCTGAGCCACGCCTGGCGGGGCTGTTCTGACACTTTAAAATAAATCAACTTCTACCATTCAACTGAGCCAATTTATCATCTTTTTAAATATTACATTTAAGAGCTTCCTTATATTGCCGTTGAGCCCCATCTAACCTGCCTGAGTTATGCCCGTTCTATGGCACAGCCTCCCTGTCACCATGCATTCTTGTACAGACCATGCAAGGAGAGCCTTCTGTAGTTTCCAAAGTGTCTTCATGTTCATTATCAAAATTAAGTAAGCAGGAATGATTATCCTCATTTCCTAGCTGAGAAAAACTATAATGTTTAAAGTTATTATATGTAACAATTATTATTAGCAACTATTTGGTAACAAGGATATCAGCTAATGGTAACAGAGCAAGTAAAACACTTTACCAAGCACTTAACACGTTTAGTGTAAAAAAAAAAAAAA